ATGACACTTTCTATCTATCTATCTATCTATCTATCTCTGTACATATATATATATATATATATAGAGAGAGAGAGAGAAGGAGAGAGAGCGAGAGAGAGAGAAAGTGAGATAGATAGATACATCATAAACAGATTTGTGTGTCTATTCAAGTACATATTTGAGTGTGTGTTCAAATACATACATTAATTTTTGCAGTGTCTTTTCACTTCAAAGACAAGCTGAATAAATTTCCTTTCTGTGCTTTCTGGCTTTTTACCAAAATGGGTTAACTTCGAAAATATCAGTATTTTTGGAATGCCTGTATTATTTTGAATTTCAATCCTATCTTAATGCTGCTCCTTGCAAGGTAACGTTCGTCTTTTTTTTCCAATTAAGCTTTCTATCTACCTGCCTATCTTGACTCTTTATCACACGCATGCATTTTTTTCTCTTTCTTCTCTGATCTTCGCCGAACTGAAATTTCCTGTACATACCCGTGTATACGACGGGCACACAGACACAGACACATTTACAGGAATACTTGTTATTTTCTTGACATTCTTGCACAAACCCGAGGAGATAATATATATATATATATATATATATATATATATATATATATATATATATATATATATATGTATGTATGTATGTATTTACGTAATATATTTGTCCCATTTCCATTTTTTTTACTTCGTCGCAATCTGCTCTGACACGATCCATCGCCTTGTCTTTCATGTCCGACATTTCCAAGCTCTTCCCGCCTTTATACCGCCCCCTCCCACCTTTCGCTTTTAAGGCTTACACGCAGACTTAATATTTCTCAGAAAATCTCTGTCTGTCATTTTATGACATTATTTTGCTTACGTGACAAGAGTAAGCGTCATCTTTTAGCCTGCATTCTTTGATCGCAACTTTCCACTTATATTTTTTTATCCTTTCACCCCCCCAACCAAGGCAATAAAGCCACTAAGAAGCAACGAGTTACTGAGTATTACAAAATATGAGAGTGAGAGAGACAGACAGGCAGAGAAAAAACACTATTAAAAAGAGTGAACAATAAAGGAACAGGAATTAAAAAGATAAAAATAATGATCGTTATTGCATTTAAATTTTTGAATGTCAAAATTGACTTGGAAAGAAGAAGCCGGAAGTATTTATATAAAATACGTGGAGAAGCTATGTTACAGCGGTAAGAAATGAACTGAAGCCAGGATGCCAGTTTAGGACTAATAACGTTTATATATTTATTTATAGCTGGGATCCCAACATATGCTACCAGACTGGGTCAGTGCGGATCTCGGAACAACAGCAATTAAGTGGTGATTTCAAGCTCCTCAAAACCTCTCGATCAGAGTCCTTGCTGCCGGGTGTAGTTTATCGTCAAACCTAGGACGAAGTAATCTTGTACTTATGATCACTATTATTTCAGTGAATTTTGTACTGATTGTGTGCTTCTGAATTTTGCCCTTGTACTGTACTATTCTAAGTTTAGTCAATACATTTGTAGAGTCAAGTTGTGCTTTAGTAAGTTAAGCGAATTTAATTAGCAAAATACCAGGTCGATACGTAAGAGAAACCTGGAAAACATCAAAAAATATAAACAACAGTTGTTTTCTGTCAATTCACCCCAAATAATAAGGAATTTTTACAATTTAAAATACAAAAGAAAAATGTGTTTTCGGCTTGATTATTGGGGTGAGCGCGAATGCAGACTGCACAATTAAAAATAGGGTTCCCGTGTCGCCCACATTTGAGGCGATCGCAAAGGTCAACTCAACCGGAATTTTTATGGAAGGTCCTCGCTCTGAAAGAATTTGGTGTGAATTTTAGTAAATAGAAATTCTTTTTATTTTGGGGTGAATTAACAGAAACGATCCTAAAGAAATTTTAGAAGTGTCAGATTGCGAAAATCTTATTAAATAAACAAACTGCAGATAACAAACAGATACTACGCATTGATCCTGACGAAAAGAACAACAGATTTTTTTTTCCGAGAAAACACATTTAACGTATACTGCTCTCTTCATTTTTTTTTTTTTTTTTTTTTTAATATATATAAGTTAAGGAAAGACTGACGGGAAAAGAGCAATATGCATGTTAATGAGACAACCAAAGCCCAGTTTCACGCGGACTTGAGCAGGCTGCCTTGCTAGTCGTTTAATAAATGTTGCTATCGTGGCATTATTTACCCGATCTTGGCAATGTTCCCATAAGGACTTTTCCGGAGTGTTGACATTTTCATAAAAATATGAAAATCAGGTCACATAGTTTTCTTTTTAGAGTTGTATTTTTAGTTTTTTTTTCATTTTTTTTATTTATTCTTTCAACACTATTAATCTGAATCTCTTTACGTCTATCCCTTTTTATTTCTCCCTATTTTTCTTTCTATCTTTCTTTTTTCTTTCTTCTTTCTTTCTTTCTTTCTCAAACTCACAATCGATTAATTTTTCTTTCTTTCTTTCTTTCTTTCTTTCTTTCTTTCTTACAGTTCTTCAGGGGTTCCAGCCTTTCTATTTATTACTTAAATCCTGTGTCATATGCAAAGATTGCTGAGAGATCAGGAAACGTCTGAACATGTAATATTTAAATTGTGTACAATAGGCATACATTTCAGATAATTCTGAATATATATATATATATGTACACACACACACGTCTGTTATGTTTGATCATGAGCAGTTGTAAACTCACATAAGCCATGTTTATAGCGGTTATCTTATTTACAAATGTTGTATAATTTTTGTCTCTATTTTCACCCGAAATTAAAGCAAATATACTTAGTTTAGAACGGCTCATGATCAAACATAATAAACGTTCATTGTCTGTTACATTTAACAATATGTTTAAATACTGACCTGCTGCCCCAATACAATATATATATATATATATATACACACACACACACATATATATACATATATATATATAAATAAGTGAAGTCGTTATAGTTGTTCCAACGAGAGAAAAGTGTGTATATTAAAAAGAAGAGAGAAACCGCAAACGTTTTTGGTTGTAATATGGATTTTTTTAAAAAATTATTATGCTTTATTTTTCATAATATTGCTACACGGGTTTCCGGTCTCGCGACCTTCATCAGGCAAAATGTGGAGCTTTCCATATATCAGTAAAAATAAGTTATTTTTTCTTATGTTTTTCGCTGTTTCGATGTTTCTCGATATAGGACATTCTCTTCTTCGTGTATTAGTGGCCCAAATGTCTTCCTATATAGTAGAGTCCAAACAGAGTTTATGTATTTCCAAGTTTGTTCAAAAAGCATTCTTTTTTCGTTATATATGAAAACATTGATGTAAATTCGATTTTAACGTTATCTTGCTGCGCACCTATAGGCGTTGTGTTAAAAAAAAACATAAAAAAAATACCTCATTTCTTTGGTCATTTGGCAAGAAATTGTAAAACCGCTCGAGTCGTGTATTTCGACAATCCCTACTATATATAAATATGTGCGTGCGTGTATGTTATTTACTTTTTTCTTCTACATGCTAAGTAGTAGGATCAGTGTGTCAAAAAAGATTTCGTTTAATTAAGCGTTACACGCGGAGAAATTCCTTGAGAGCGTGCACGCGCATGCGTCAAAACGTGTGCACATTCCTCGAAGCAGCTAAATGCTTCCTCTCATGCAAGCAATATTGCATATTTATGGATATAAGTTGGTAGAAATGAAAGACTGAAGAAAATGTTGGGGAGGGGAACTTGTGCAGGTATTAGCAAAATCGTTTGTGTCATATCGGGTTTGCTAAAATCTAAAAACTCAGTCCCACTTCGGAGAAAGGAATTGAAAGTTACGTATCGATTGGAACGCACGAATTTTTGTCTAATTAAGTTTAATACACGCGCGCATACACACATAAGCGCAGCTACAGGAATATGTGTAAATATCGTTACAAATAAATAAATTACTACATCGTATTTTCCATTCCATCTTATTACATATTTATTTATCTCTTGACAATAAATTATATCAATCGAAAGTCAGGAACATCAAGAAAATGTAAAAAGAATGGTGAAAAATCTCTTTATACTAGCAATATCAAAGACGGAAACTAATCCAAACAAAAATTCTATTTAATATACGCCCTTGTGCAAATCGGCATACATATATAATATATATATATATATATATATATAAGCATTTCACCCCAAGCAAGGCGGGAAATAGGATATGGAGCGAGAGCAGATAGGAGTGATAGAGGAAAGGATGAAGAGAAGGATAGTGGATAGATCAAGGCAACTGGAGATGTTTATTGATATTACATTTGAATAGTTGGAAATTATAGGTATCAGGGAAACGGGAAAAAGGAAGAGAGTTCCACAGGCGAGAGGTGCGAGAGGTGCGAGATATGAAGCTATTGGAGTAGAAGAGACGGCTACATTTAAGAGTTTCAACAGTGAAAGGGTGAGAGCGGGATGCCAGCCTCGTGGGACGCTTGAATTGATGAAGCCTGGGAACCAGCGAAAGCAACTCATCGGAGCAATTACCGTGAAAGTACTTGTAAAAAAGACAAAGAGAGGCGATGACACGTCTGTGAGAAAGCGACTGCAGACGAGATGCCAGATCGGGGCCAATTGCATTGCATATCCGTCTCTGGATCTTTTAAAGAACCCCAAGGCAAACAGAAGGGACTCCAGGCCATATACGGCAGCAATACTCCATGCAAGGGTGAATGGTTGATTTGTAGATTTGAAGGCTCGATTCAGGGGAGAAAATTTTCTTGACGCGGCACAGGGAGCCAATATATATATATATATATATATATGTGTGTGTGTGTGTGTGTGTGTGTGTGCACATGTTACTATTTGTGTGTTTATTCCACAAAATCTTTCCTTACTGCTTGACCACAGATACTTGATTTGATTTAAATCAGGGGGAGTTTCCGGACCAATCTATAGTACTTTGATTTGCTTACTGACAAGGGTTGCCAGTGTGTTCGTGTAGTAACGTCCATCGCAGACAATGGCCGTAGGACAACTAATCGACAGTCGAAACAATAGTGTCTGGTCGTGATGAAAATCTGATGTAATCATGGGTGACGCAATATTTTTCAAGGCCAAACAAATTTCATCATGGACCTCAAAAATAGATCTATTTACAGTACAACACTGCAAATGACGTAATGCGAGAAAAAAAAAATACAAATCGATTACATCCTGTCCCCCCAGTCGGTCTAAAATTGACCATATGGTGAATGAAATGAAACTAAAGCGGATGTTTCAACTAATTTGCACAATGGTATTATATATTAGACATAATTCAGCTTGACCGTTTGTTTCTTCGTAGTTAAACGTTGGCTGTCTCTAGCCTGAGAGATGCAGGTTCGAATCCTGCCGAATTGCGCAAATTGTTCTTTAATAATATTTCCCGAAATTTCATCGAGGCAGGTGAATATAAAGAAATATACTGTTTAATATATAAACGGAGCGACAACTAGAATTGATTTCACTTGTGACTCGAATCGAAAATAAACGCATAATTAAGATGTTGACTTTCCACATCACTTAAAATCGAAGGTTAGTATGGAAAGCCCCATCAACACTGGAAAGAGCGATACCAACTACTGTACTTGAGAAAGGTATGCTCCTATAAATGTGCTTTAACATTAAGATTGTAAATTTCAACCGACTGTAGTACTGGCTACTCGGTCAATAGATACTTAATGTTACTTTATAATAAAACTACTAATATTATTGTATGTAGAGCTGGCCCCTCGTATTCGAGGATACGTGTCTACTAGGCGGTTAGCCAATCCCTATTGCTGACGCTTGCTCAGGCGCATTTCTGTTTATTCAAAACCCACAGAGGCCACCTGTGCATTACATTGCAACGATGCTGAGCAGACCTTAGTTACAGTTTCTGGAAATATCATGTTATCTATTTATGTATGTATAATTATATTATACTAGCAGTAGAGCGCGGCGTTACCCGGGGATGTAACAGTAAGAGATAGATCAAGTATCGACCATCATAAAGACTGAAAAATAAAATTGACAAAGATTATTGTTTAAGATTGACGGACACGCATGTCTTAATTATTTTTTTTATGAATTGGTCAAACCCAAACTCAAACAAAAACATTGTTTTCAATCGTTATGAGTCTACCGATTGAATAGAATTTTATTATAAACAATTGTCTTATAAATGGAATTTTTAAAGCATTCTGAATGTAAAAATAAAGAAAAAAGTATGCAAGACAATAAGAAGCACTACCTGCCAAAAAAGAAGTGAAGTTTTGTTGAAATAGTTTGAAAAATGTAAGAAATCCGATCCCATATATAAACGAACACACACACACACACACACACAGACACACACAAAGACACACACACAACCTGGGTTTTATAATAAGTATAACTGGATATGAGTTGTCCCCCTTTCATTCTGGCGATGACTCTTAATCGTGTTTTCAAATTGATTTCGTGCAAAAACAATTGTGTTTTTCCAATTTTCGGCGCTCTCAGAACCACACTAAGGTAATTTTACGTAGTTATGTGAAGTTTTGTTGAAATCGGTTGAATAATGTAGGAAATCCGATCCAATATATAAACGTACAGACACACACACGCACACAACCTGGGTTTTATAATAAGTATGATTATCGCATGTAATGATTTAATGCAAAAATGGTTTCTTTTCTCCAGTTTGTACTTATACAGTACAATTACTCGATATTGTTTCATTGTAATCATTTTCATTGGGCTTATGAGTAACAATATATTGAACGAAATATTATCTGGAAAGAAAAAGAGTCAGTAATATGTCCAGATTTTTTTCTCTAAGGAGGTTACTTCAATATACAACCGAATCAACATTCAACCAAAAAATGCGTCATTTCTAGCGTGACAACCTAATATGATCTTTCTTTTATTCTCGTGTAACAGATTTTTCCTAAACCTCTGTATTTTCTAGTGTTACCCATCTGCCAAGCAAAGCTAAATTTAACATATATCTATGCATGGTTTTATGTGCACGGGTTTCTTTTAGATATCATATATAATATATTAGATTTTGGGGCCGCTGTCAAATTTGAGGATGGGCGTAAATTGCTTTTTGTCTTGAATTCCTACGGAATTTTTGTTCAAGTGTTAACACGCCCACTCAATTCTAAGTCATATATTATGATGAGGCAATATATTTGCTTAATTTATCTGATGATGAGACACAGGGTAGACAGATTCGAGCCATTCTAAAAGTCACCGGTAATTAGTTGAAAGCTTTTTTCTTATTGCACATGCGCGCATAAGCACACACACGACCCTGAGATCCGAATAAGCACTGGCATGTCCAAAGATGCTTTCCAAAAGTTAAATAAAGTATGATAAGACATAAAAACCTCCTTAGAAACAGTGTTCTGGACTGTTACGTGTTATATGTCCGCCTGTATGGCAGTGAATACTGGACAATCTCCTCAAAGATGAATAGAGAATTGAAACAAAAGAAATATGGGTCTACAGAAGGATGATGAGGATACTATTCACCGAACATGTGATCAACGATGAGGGTTTACAGAAAACGGAAACAAAAAGGAACATGCTAGAATTATTGAATTACTTGTAACGTGAGAGAAATATATAGGTATTTTTTTAAAGTGGAATATCTGCTATCAAATAAACTATACTGTTATTTCGTAAATTTGCATAGGTGATGTGTTAAACGTTTTCTCACGATCACTTTTATAACCTCATTTAAAACGGAGTGGCAGACTTTTTTAAATATCATGCTCGCTTAAAAGGTTTAGTCGCAATGTCTTTGTTCTCATACAAGAGTTCCGCACTTATTTACAAGATGAATCTACGCATTAAAAAATAGAAAGGGAAGTGCCATTTTCTTATAGATTTAAACAATAAGTTTATCCAATTAACCATAAAATCTTCTTTTCTGTGCCGTGTACCTTCAAGACGTTGGTGATCACGATTCTCCACAAATTTTATTTTATTTGTAGCTCTTATCACTTATTTTTTTTGTTATCTCTCTTAAACTTTATTCTACCATCCATTTACACAAGCCTGTTATGTAGGTTACCTGCTGTTTTCATGTCCTTCTTGCCTTCCATATGTCCTGTGAGTGTTAAATTTTCCAAGCCCTCATATTTGGGCCATGGTATTCCTTTGTAGAATCACATTTCTCTCGATTCAAGTCTCTTCTTCTGTGAAGAGATTGTCCAGCATCTACAGCCATATAGGAGGACAAATATTACTTAAGAGTTTAGCCATTTTTTCTTTGTTTCTAAAGGAACTTTCCTGATTCTTAATGCAATGTTTTATCTTTCGTTATCCTAATGCGCCTTCAGATGTCGATGTTGCACTTTCCGTTGTCTTCGCTTTATGTTGGTATCCCCAATTTGTAATTTATATGCTGGGCTGTTCCATTTTGCTAACAACCATGCATTCTGTCTTCATGCAATTTATGTTAAGTTTTTTCTTCTTACTTTCCTTGTCTTGTCTTTTGCTCTGTGTTTGCCTTCAACACTGTGTCACCTGTATAACTTATGTTGTTAAGATTGTGATCGCTACTAATAAATCTTAGTAGGACTTCTAATTTACTCAGAATCGCCTCATGTATAACTTGAATAAATCTGGCGAGAAGACAATTCTATGCCTCCCTTTCTATTTTTATATTTGTTGAATTCGTTTATGCAGGCAGTTTGCTCAAGATTGGATTTATTCTAATATCCTTCGCAAAAATATCAAGGCTACCTAACAGTTCCAAAAGTTCTTTGGGGCGTTCCCCTGATCTTTAACTAAGTAGCGTACATCTTACTTCTCTCCATTTATATGGGTACCTACAAGTACCATTTATATGTACAATCTCGGATATTTGTTTTGTTCTCTATAATCGTCTTTCTCTGCTTATCAATATTTATCTACTTTTTTTCATGAGATGTTATTGTGTTTATTTTTATTATACTCGTCTTTCTTACACTGTCCTTTTTTCTTACTTTATCGTCTTCCACCTTAATAATGCAGATGCATTAACTAACGTGAGCCTGACAAAGAAACTAGCAACTTGCGTACACAATTATTTTATGATTTTAGTTCTTTCTTCTCACTTTCCTTCATTAAAATCTGTAGGAGTTCTTGTAGTTTTCTGTCTGTGCCTGCTATCAACATTGTGTCACCTGCATAACTTAGGTTGTTAAGATTATGATCGCTACTAATAAATCTTGGTATCCCTAATTTGTAATTTGTATGCTGGGCTGATCCAATTTGTTAACAACCTTCTCTTAGAATCGCCTGTATAGCTTGAATGAATCTGTCGAGAAGATACTTCCTTGATTTACACCTTGATAATACACTTCCATAATAGTGGTGTTTCTTGAGGAAACCCTCTCCAGGATGGTTTTGAATTCAGAGTTTTTCCTTCTACTAGACTGGTTACCATGCAAGGTTATAGAACCTTTTAGATGGTGGGGCGGACAAGAAGAGGATTCATAACTTTCCCAAGGGTATTAGGATGTAAGTGAATGTAATGTACCCGACTGGAATTCGAACACGGTTCTCCGATTCCTCAATCCGGGCCTCTAACCATTACTCTACCGTGCCTCAAATACAAAAAGATGTTATCCTATTTCTCTTCGTCTGTTTTTTCCTCTGCATTCGAGATCTTCTCTCCCCATTTCCTTTTCCGTTTTTCATATTACATTTCCAGTCTCTAAACTGACCTTCCGCTCTATAGCCATATGTGGTCTGTCAATCTCTTCCCTTGTGCTATTATTTTCCTATTGTTTGTCTTTCTTTCTTTCTTTCTTTCTTTCTTTCTTTCTTTCTTTCTTTTTCTTGCCTTCGATGTGTCTTGTGAGTGTCAAATTTTCCAGGCCTTATTTCCCCATTATTTGTCCAAGAAATGTCATCTGTCTATATTTGATTCTAATTAAGGTGTTTTATTTTTGTTTTTTTTTTCATTTTCCCCAGAACTTTGTCACTGCTCACATGATCAGTCCATGGTATTCTCAGCATCCTTCTACAGGACTACATTTATTAAGAGCGGGTAAATTCTGGGCAATTTTAGTTGTCATTGAATTAGTAGCCACCGTCATGTGCCTAATTGTATCAAGATTATGAGTGTCATTTTCTTTTCGGTGTTATGGGACTTGTTGGCCATATTCTATGTATCGTGTGTCTTCAAGAAGTGGGCGAAGATGGTTTCCTACAACTTCTTGTCCTTTCTACAACTTCCTGTTCTTTCTACAACTTCCTGTAATTTCTAAAACTTCCTGTCATTTCTACAACTTCCAGTACTTTCTACAACTTGCTGTCCTTTCTACAAGTTCCTTTCCTTTCTAAAACTTCCTGTCATTTCTAAAAAAATCCTGTCCTTTCTACAACTTCCTGTTCTTTCTACAACTTCCTGTCATTTTTGTCAATCTGTTTACAATACTAATCAGTCCCTATTATACTATCAATTTACACAATCGGTTGCTGGCGTTTTTTTCTCAGCATATCCAAGGTTTTTTTTATTATTATTATGGTCGCAGATATTTCAAATAACCCTTTCTGATTCTAAGAGTTAGCGTCCTTTCTGCTTCCATATCATAAATAACCTTGATAAAACTTTGCACATAATATTACCAGGCGACTCAATAACGACTAAAACTTAATACAATCAATATAAACTTTATATAAAAGTTAAAAAAAAAAAAACAATATGAGTTTATACGGTCAGGTAGGTGTGTGGGTGTTACATGATTCCTTATACATCGACCAATCGTTCTTTTTAACAATCTACGATTGATCACTCACTAAATCTTTCTATAAATCGTCCCTATCCCTTTTCAGCCACTATTTCTTTGGGGAAGCCATAAATCTGTCAGTGATATAATTGGTAAAAGTTGGTAGTGGCGATTGCTTATATACAGGAGTATGGATCAATAAGTACGTAGACAGTTAGTCACTAGGTGAATTATTATCAAGAAATTTATAATGTTAGTTTGATGAGATGAAAATCCAGTAATGTTTTAAACGCAGTGACAAGGATGGGGATCATTTTGAAAAATAAATATAAATAGGTAAAGTAAGTGTTTTGCTTCATTATTAGGGACACACACACAAACAACGAGAGAGAGAAAAAAAGAGTGTGTGTGTGTGTGTGTGACTGTGAAATAAGAACAGAGGAATCAACACATGACTGTCAGATTCACGCTTCAGTGGAATCATCAAAACGAAGAACGCAGTGAAGTGTGAAACTGACCACACTGTCTAGATCTATAAACAACCTATCTTCAATATTGAGAATTCTTCCCCTTTAAATATAGACTATTTTAAACAGTACACACAAAAACACACACACACACACACATATATATGATTATATATTCATATATATATATATATATATATATATATATATATATATATATATATATATATATATATATATATGATTTATTCTTTGGACATAATTTTCATAAAAAAAAACATGTATGCATTAATTAAAACACATAAACGCCCCCCTATATATATATATATATATATATATATATATATATATATATATGTATGCGATTGCTTCAAGCTGGAATCGATATGATATATATATATATATATATATATATATATATATATATATACTTTAAAATAATGAGATCCGTTGAATCTGCTACCTTGGTTTCGACCTTACGGCTTTCTCCGACGATTTTTCCACACGTGTATTGAGCACTGTTTAATACCACTGTTTCGAGGTCTGATTCAACTCTGACCATTAAACTTATATATATATATATATATATATATATATAGATAGATAGATAGAGATATATATATATATATATAGAGAGAGAGAGAGAGAGAAAGAGAGAGACACCGATCGACAAACAGAGACACAGACAGACAGACAGACAGAGACAGTAAGAATGAAATAGTGACAAAGAACGAGAGTTTTTACTGAAAAGTTATCAACTATTCCATGAAGACAGTATTTCTTTAAAAATATAATCGATTGTTGATGTTTTGTCAAATTTTGTAGTATATAAAACCGAGAAAGAAAAGAAAGCAGATGCTGTTAGCGAGAGTGTGTGTTTGTGTATGTCAGAGAGAGAGGAAGAGAGAGGGAGAGAGAAAGAGAGAGGGAGAGAGAGAATGTGCAAGAGAGTGCGAGGGAGTGTGTGTGTCAGAGAGAGTGAGACAGTGTATGTCTGAGTGTGTATGTCAGAGAGACAGACAGAGAGACAGAGAGAGAGAGCGTGTGTATATTTATGGGAGCGAGATCGATAGGAGTAGAATGTAGGTGAGATCACATTCTCTTCATCCCTACACATGAAATGTTATAAAATATTCTCACCCCATCTCGACTAGAATCCTATTTCTGTAGTTGGCTGCCATGAAATCATAGATTTCGAAAAATGACTCGGCCTCTTAACGTGGTACAAATCGGACTAGCCCAGCCAAGCTCAGCCAGCAAGTTCTTGCTGTAGTAGACGTAGGTGTAATAGCATTTTGGTGTCATGGTGTAGGTAATAGCAGTGTTGCCACTGGTTGTTCAGATGATGGTGGTAGCGGTCGTGGCGGTGGTTGCAATGCAAATGTCAAACAGGAGATTAGGCCTTCCTTTAAGCGACGTGGATGCCGAGAATGTCATCAACACACCGCATTTCGTTTTCGAAAAGATATTTATAACATGGTTCTAAGGAAATGATTGAAACGAAAAGGCATCGGGTATTTGAAAAGGATGGGACGTTCATGTGAGTCTGCCTATCATTCGAGATCGTGAAGTGTTCATTTTGGCTACTGAGAATCTGTCATTTAAATTCTTGGAGAATGAAGTCGCTTTGCTAATTTATCAACGGGAAAAATTCCAACATTTATGTAAATTTCGCATATGTATAGGAAGAATTTTGTTCCTCTCTTTCTCTCTCTCTCGCTTTCTCAATTATCTACCTTTTTCTGTCTCTCTCAAACTCTATATTTTTCTCTCGCTCATTATCTCTTGCCGAAGCCGTCTCTGTATTTTTCTCATACATTAGATTCTGTCTCTCACTTATATTTTCTCTCTCACTCTCCTCCTTTCAGACTATCAGTGTTTCACTATTTATCTCTCACTTTCTTTCTCTGTGTCCGTCTTTCTATCTCTCTTTCAACATCTCTCTCTCTGCATGTCTATCTGTCTCTCTCTTCTTCTTTTCTTTCAATATATATATATATATATATATATATATATATATATATATATGTATATGTAGTGTTCAGTATTGGTGATATTACATCTATATCGATATCTATATCTAAAAATAGTGTGGGCATAGGTATACACACTGGCCTGCGACATTCACGCTACAGTGAAATGTTCTGCTAATATGTATGTTCACGCATTACACTCGCGTGCGCATGCGCGAGCGCGTGCACACGGACACAAACTCACGCGCGCGCGTGCACCCCCACCTTCACAGGCACAAACACAGTGAGGCCAACACCAAGAGGCAACAGTCTGTTTCATTTTCGAACCCAATATTCTGGTCATTTTATATGCCAATTTATATATATATATATATATATATATATATATATATATATATATATATATATATATATATATTACAGTTCAAAAGTTTGAGGTTGCCCCAGTAAATTTTTAAATTGGCATTAAAAGTAATTATTTGCTACTTAAAACACGAGAAAACCTTTATAAATGGTTATGAAAGATGAGACATGATTTTTTATTATAAATTTTATTATGGCGAAAAGAAAAAAAATCATAATTAAATTTTACTCTCGCCAAAATATCCTCCTTTACCCTTGATTACTGCAGCACATGTACTTAGCATTCGTTGTAAAAGTTTCAAAAGTATGTTTGATAATTGATTCCATTATTTTTTGATTATTCTAAGTGCTCTTTTTTCGTTTTCTTCTTCACTCTTCTGTCAATTTCATCCTATGCTAACTCTGGGGTGCCTTCAAACGTTTGAACTTTTTATATATATATATATATATATATATATATATATATATATATATATATATATATATATAATGGGCTCTCCCATCGTTTTTGACGTATGAGTGTCAAGCAACTCAGTTCCTAGGTAACGACAGCTAGACAGCCTCCACATAATATTACAATGGTAAAGGCTTCGTGCAGAACAAACCACACTTTTTTGAAGAGCCGAATACAGAGAGCTGGTGCATCGTGTGCCACAAGTTCCTCAAACGACTCTCCGCAGGTTTTGAATTCCGAGTTTTCCTTCTCGTAGACCAGTTGCCATCCAAGGTTATAGGACACATTCTGTCCTGCTATTTACACAAAGTTAGGTGGAAAAGAGGATTCATACTTGAGCGAGTGTAATTGATTCGACTGGAATTCGAACTCGGCTCTCCGATTCCTCAATCTCAGCCGCTATTTTCTACATATAAGGATCTACCAGACCACGATGGAGGCTAATATTAATGCGGAGATTTAGATCGAACCCATTTGGGGTCTTTGACTTGCACAGAAAAAAAAAAGCTGTTCTCACATATTTTTTTTTCGTATGTAACAGATAGCAGCACGGAAATTAGTAGGGACGAAATATTTTTTTGAGTTCTAGCTAAAGCTGATAGTGTTCATTTCCCATTTAATACTGTTGGGAACTGCGCGACAGTAACTGTCCCACCTCTCTCTCTCTCTCTCTCCTCGTCAACACGCACATTTTGCGAGTGGCACGACAAATGATCTGGAAAACCACTCTCCTCTAATGACCCAAGTAGAAACATCAAATATTTAGCTACCATTAGCAACATTCTAAATAATGTTTTTACATATACGCTTGACGAATGCGTCGAATTGATAGACAAATATACGCATATGATGTGTGCGTTTATGTATGTTTAATGGAATGTGTATGTATATCTATCTATCTATCTATCTATCTATCTATCTATCTATCTATCTATCTGTTATCTGTCTGTCTCTCACTCTCTCTCTCTCTATATATATATATATACACATTATATTATATTATATATATATATATACACACAAACACACACACACACACACATATATATATACACACACGCACACACACACATATACAT